CTGCTTCGATCCCCCTCTAAACTCTCCGACGCACATAGTTTCGGCACAATCAAATTACAATTTAACACACCACCTAATTTATTGTGTCTAAACTATCTATATTCATCATGATTCTTAGTCTTCAAAATACTTCGACCTGCACACCATTTGTCATGATGTCTGTAATCTGATTCTCAGTTCTGCAATGTTTCAAATCCATCTTCCCATCTGCTACCTGCTCTCGAAGATAATGGAACCTCATTTCGATGTGCTTGCTTCGACTATGTGCTATCGGGTTCTTCACCAGATTGATAGCTGACATATGGTCAATCTTCATGGTAATTGCTCCATGATCTTTCCCTGTTATCTCTTCGACCAAGTTCACCATCCAAGTTGTTTGACATGCACAAAGAGAATCAACTATGTATTCTGCTTCGCATGATGATAATGCCATTACTGGTTCATTTCTTGAACTTCAAGCAACCTGTGCACCACCTAACATAAACACATATCATGCTGTTGATTTTCGATCTTCAGCATCACTACACCAACTTGAATCAGTGTATCCCACTAACTTGCAATCTCTTCCTTTATCAGCTGCAGGAAACAAAATGCCGTAGTCGAGAGTTCCTTTGAGATGCCTTAGTATCCTCTTCACTGCTGCTAGATGTGATACCTTTGGCTTCTGCATGAATCTACTTACCATACCTACAATATATGCTAAGTCAGACCTTGTATGACAAAGATATCTTAATGACTCAATAAGTCTTCTGTATTGAGTTGGGTCGACATCATCTTCATCTGCATCTTTCGACAGTTGCAGTTTTGGTTTTACAGGTGTCGAAGTTGAGTTGCATTCTTCCATCTCAAATCTCTTGAGAATTTCTCCTGCATATCTTCTTTGATACATCATCAAACCTCTACTGCTCTTGTAGAATTCGATGCCAAGGAAATATGAAATCTCACCCAGATCAGATATTTCGAATTCCTTACTGAGATCATCTTTGAAGTCTTCGATCTCACTTTTGCAGCTACCTATTATCAACAAATCATCGACATAGAGACATAGTATAAGCAATTCACTATTGCTTCTTCTTACGTATACTCCATATTTAGTTATGCACTCCACAAATTCCTTCTCCCTTAGGAAATTATCAATTTTCTTATTCCAAACTCTTGGAGCTTGTTTCAATCCATACAGGGCATTATACAACCTGTACACCTTTCTCTCTTTGTCATGTTTCACAAACCCAACTGGTTGTTTAACAAAAACTTCTTCGTCTAAGGGTCCATTCAGAAATGCATACTTCACGTCCATCTGACATATGTGCCATCTGTTTATTTCTGCTAGACCAATAATCAATTTGATTGTTTCGATCCTAGCAACAGGTGCAAAAACTTCATCGAAGTCTATTTCTTCTTTCTGTAGAAATCCTTTCACCACAAGTTTTGCTTTGTGTCGAGTTACTTCCCCTTTGGAATTCATTTTCACTTTGTATACCCACTTGACATCAATTGCCTTCTTGCCTTGAGGCAATTCGACAAGTGACCAAGTGTTGTTGTCTTCGATAGACTTCACTTCTTCGTTCATTGCTTTCACCCACTTCGAATCCTTCAATGCTTCAGCTGCATTGACAGGTTCGACATCTACATAGAAAGCATAATGTACCAACCCACCTTCATTATCTATCACATCATCTGATGTAATCACACAATCTTGCAATCTTGGAGCCATGCGTCTTGTTCTTTGAGGTCTGATTGTACTTGGTTGATCTATAACTGCTGGTTCCTCTTGTCGAACTTCTCTTTTGACTTGAATTTCTGGTTCTTCAAGTAGGACTCCCACTGAATCTTTCTTGACATTTTCAGTCTAATCTCATTCTTTAAGCTCATCTATGATCATGTCCCTGCTGATCACAATCTGCTTGTTCCTATTGAATGATATTCAACTAGAATCATTTGACTCGACTTGTCATCAAGTTTTCTTCTTAACTGATATGGCACATGTCTATGTGCAATAGATCTAAATACCTTCAGATGACTCAAGCTAGGCTTCACATCAGACCAACATTCTTCTGGACTAATTCCTTCTAGCTTCTTCGTAGGACATCTGTTCAAAATGTACGTTGCAGTCGACACAGCTTCACCCTAAAACTCTTTAGGTAAATTCTTGCCTTTCAACATACTTCTCACCATATTCATGATGGTTTGATTCTTCCTTTTTGCAGTTACATTATGCTGTGGAGTATAGGGTGGCACCACCTCATGCACAATCTCTTCCTTTTCACATAACTTGTCGAAGTCTTTCGACACATACTCTCCACCACCATCAGTTCTCAAAACTGAGTTTTCGACCACTTTGTCTTTTGACCATAGACTTAAATTTGACAAATACTTCGATCACTTCACTTTTCTTCTTGATCAGGTAAGTCCACAACTTTCGACTGAAATCATCTATGAATATAACAAAGTATTTGTTACCTCCCATCGAATCCACCTGGATTGGTCCACATACATCATAGAATATGACTTCAAGAATAACCTTCGACCTGCTTCCTGCATCCTTGCTGAAGTTATTCTTGTGTTGTTTCGCCTGCACAGATTCCTCACATACCTCGTTTGGAATGTCGATTTCTGTCAATTCTGAAACTATATTTCGTCTCTTTAAATCTCTGATGTCGAGATGGCCTAGTCGATAATGTCATATCCATTCATCTCTGCTAGCTGCAGTCGAAAGGCACTTGTGCTCCATCACATTTAGTTCGACCTTAAAGGTTCTATTTTAAGACATATGAGCCTTCAAGATTAATCTTCCATTTGCATCGATGACTCTCATCATCTTATCTTCGATCGACACTTTATAATTCTTTTCGACCAACTACCATATACTGAGCAAATTGCTCTTCATGCCTGGTATGTACAACACATTGGAAATTACTGACCTCTTGCCATCTTTCATCATAATCATAACATCACCAATACCTTCAGCTGCTAGGGTATTGTCATTTACTAATTTTACCATATTTTTTATTTAGGGCTTTATGTTGACAAACTAGTATTTCCTTCTAAACATATGTGATGAGCATCATGAATCCAAGTACCATTAGTCCTTGAATCTATCTTCATCTCTTGTTGTGACCATCAGCATCATCTCTTCTTTTTCATGTTTTGCAAACTTTGCATCACTTTCTTAATTCTTTCGCTTTTCTGGACAATCACTCGAATATTGACCATACTTCTGACAATTGTAACATTGAATGTGACTCTTGTCAGTTTTTCGACCACCACCTCTTTGGTTGCCTTGGTATGGTCTTCTTTGATTCGACACGTTTCCTTCGTTCTGATTTCCTCTACCATTCGATTTGTTGTAGCCGCCTCTACCTCTGTCAAACCACTTTCTTTTGCCTTTGATTTCTTTTGCTGAATGTGCCTGCAAATCCACGTCACTCTTCGACTTGCTTGCAGCTCTTTCAGTCATTTTTTGTTCATGAGATTCAAGTGTCCCTTGAAGCTCTTCCTTTGTCAATTTCGATAAGTCTTCCCTTTCTTCTGTAGCCACCACCATGTGGTCGAACTTAGGAGCCAAAGATCTCAAGATCTTCGAAACAACAGCTCTTGTTGTTAATGTTTCTCCACATACCTTGATTTGATTCACTAGTCTTGTAACCCTAGTGAAGAAATCAGATATGCTCTCACTATCTTCCATATGAAGCAATTCATATGTTCTCTTGTGAGTTTGTAACCTCACTTCTTTCACCTTTTCTGCACCACCAAAAGACTTCTCAAGAACATCTCAAGCTTCTTTTGCAGATTCTGAATCACTCACTTTTTAAAAATTTTCTGGACTCAGACATTGATGAATTATAAAGAGTGCTTTATAACTCAGCTTCTCAGATTCGGTGTGTTTCTTCTTTTCTTCTTCTGAAGCGTTTTCTCCAAGCACTTCCAATCCATCCTTTACAAGATAACAAAGACCTTGACACCTAAATAAAACTTACATCTGTTTGCACCAATTATCATAGTTGTCTACTTTCAGAATTGGTAGAGTTACTGGATAATTTGCATTCCCATAACTCGCCATCATGAATTCTTCTTCTTCCTCAATCGTTATTGATCGATACTTCCCTTGAATCGATTAACCGAGCTCTTGATACCAGATGTTGGAAAACCACCAAATATCTATGATGAATTTTTACCAATCTTGATGAACAAGATTGATATCACCACACAATGACAATGAATTATGAGAAAAGAAAAGAAAGAAGACAATTATTTTCTGCAAAGTTTCTCTTTGCCCACAAACCGTAGAAAACTTTATTAATCACTTGCAACTGCAAATTCTGTGATTATAATGAATTGACTTAATTAGGGGTTACTCCCTTTATTTATAGATTTAGGTTAGCCAAAGCTCAAAACTATAAAAGCCCAAAATACCTATTTTGATACTAAATCAAATCTATCTAAATCTAAAATAAATCTATATTGAATCTGTATCAAATATGTGTGTAGTTTACTTCGATCCACAGGCTCTTCGACAGAGTAATGACTTCCTTCGAACAACCTGCTTCGATCCCCCTCTAAACTCTTCGACGCACATAGTTTCGACACAATCGAATTACAATTTAACAATATCAGAAACAACAATTCACGTATCGACATTTTCTCACATGATAATAAGTCAGAAAAAACAATTTACACACCAACATTTTATCATCCAGCACAAGGATGATAGGATCTCTTTTTGTACCACCATCCACTTTCAGCTTACAAGAAGCCTTATTCAAGAGTTCAAAAACACACTCTTGTGATCTATTGTTTGTTTTTAATGATATTCCGCTCATTGCTTCATCATAATTGCCTACAGCGTAGCAGTCTTTCTTTGTTCATTGCTTTTCTCCACAAAAGCCTCCGAGAATTGTTTTAAGAAGACCCCTATTTATAACTGATTTCAATTCAAATGTTAGATTAGTGATAAGTTTTTCAAACACTGCCTCGAAATTCTTGCAATTCACAAGTTCTCCTTAAAGTAAGCACCTCCATGATCCTAACCACGAATCTTCAAGGTTTCTGTGAAGATATATAACATGACAAATGTACTCATAACAATTTGTATCTTAGAATTAAAACTATTTTCCTCTACCATGTCATGCTATTATAAATTGTACTATTTTAAATTCCTTAATAAAATTTATGTAGAATGTTGCACTGAGGACAGGTTGTTCAACCAAATTCAAAATGTGCAGGATGTACATATATATTCTTAAATCAAAGTGTGTGAAGATTTATTTATGAAAACAATGGTGGTATACCTCAACAATTCTTTTAGATGAACATCAATTTTCCATCGTTTCTCTGAAACTGATGCACTATAGGAACCTTCTGTTTGGGCATCCTTTTGAAGAAATGTTCTGATATCTGGAACTATGCCATCAACAAAAGAAGTGCCCCTCTATCAGCGTATCCGCCTTCTTATCTGAACCAAATGTAAAATTATAAATTACCTTGTTAAACATCATATCTTGTATGTTATACATATATAATCTCACAAGCTACGTACCTGGTGAAACAGAATAAACGGATAATAACACTACAATCGGTTCCTTTTCAAAACTCAACCGTGATACCAAAATCCAAGTTTGAATATCTTTACAAGAAAAAATCTCTTGTATCAAATTAGTATAAGTGTTGTCAAGTAAACTAATAACGACTATTGTCATGGCTGAAAGACCTTTCAAAACCTGGTTTGCATGTTCTGCAATCTCTTCTATAGACGTGGGAAAACTGAAACAGGTAGCATTTGAAATTTTGAATATATTCTCTGTTTTATAATGCAGTAAAAATAGCGGTTACCTAAGTAATCCGGTAACAGAAGACCTGCTATTATTTGAACCCTGAAATTGAACTTATAATATTAACATTGGGATGTATCGTATACCACATAAAAGCAGCATTCAACATTGAACAATAAGCAAAAAATATCATGTATTTGTGCTCATAGAAAGCATAAAAATAATCATTCTACTTGGGAATTATTGCCATTACTACCAAATATATGCTTTTCCAATAATCGAAATCTTGCAGAAATAAAAATTGCAGTCAAAATCTACCATTGTACCTCGCATCTCTCTGACAAATGTGACCGAGACTGAAAAGTAAAATGTGTTCCAACTGAAGCTTGGTGGAAATATGAGCATAGTTTTCTTTTGGTAAGAGTTGGGATGTCACATATTACAGAATTTTGGTTACTCACGGCAGAAACTGTGCACATCACAGCAAGCAATTTAGACACAGGTTGCATATATCATTAGCACACTAAAGTCATAACCTCCTCAATTGATAAAAGAGTAACACTAAAAGAAGATATCAAAAAGCTGAAAGTCAAGGCAGGTCAACAAGTTCATTATAAACAATAACTATGATATCTGTGGGATTTTGGATCGAACTCTAGTATGATCAAAGTACATGCTGTAGTCGAAGAAGGGTATAGCATGTACTTGTCGAAGAATGCTTGTTAAATTAGGTTTTAGTGTTTAAACCCTAATTTGTTAAGTTAGCTTGATTATTAAGTTAGCTTGTATAATGGGCCTTGTGGAAAAAGCCCATTAGTTAGTATGTTAGGTTTTATTATAAATAGCATACTAGTCTCTCATCATTGCAACACAGCAAATCCTAATTTAGGGTGAGAGGGTTATTTGTTATTCTTGTAAACTTGTAATCTTGTTTTCTAAGAGAAAGTAAAGAATAGCAGTTATAACCAATTCTTGTGTTCTTCTTCTTCCTTGTTCCTTATTCCTCCCTTATTCTATACTTTGTTATTGGCATTGAATTCACAACAAATTGGTGCGGTGAGCGTGGAGAAGATGCCTTCAACAAAGTATGAGATTGAAAAGTTCACCGGAGTGAATGATTTCGGTCTATGGCGCTTAAAGATGAAAGCCCTACTGGTTCAGCAAGGTTGTTTGGAAGCGTTGAAGGGAGCGACGGCGATGGACGCTGCGTTAACAGAAAGAGAGAAGACGGCCATGATCGAGAAAGCACACAGCGCAATTTTGTTGAGCCTTGGTGATAAGGTTCTTCGACAAGTATCAAAGGAGACGACGGCATCAGGGTTATGGGTGAAACTTGAAAGTTTGTATATGACCAAATCTCTGGTAAACCGACTCTACCTGAAGCAAGCTTTGTATTCATTCAAGATGATTGAAGACAAAGTGTTGGCTGAGCAGTTGGATATGTTCAACAAACTGATTCTTGATCTTGAAAATATTGATGTAAAGATTGATGATGAAGATCAAGCGCTGTTATTGTTATGCGCTTTGCCCAGATCACATGCTCACTTCAAAGAAACCCTCTTGTATGGAAGAGAGTCCCTGACCTTTGAAGAAGTTCAATCAGCTTTGTACTCTAAGGACTTGAACGAACGTAAGGAGCATAAACCTTCGACGGTTGGTGAAGGTTTGGCTGTTAAAGGAAAATTCGACAAGAGGAAAGGTAAAAATCAGTCGAAGTCTTATAGTGGTGACGCATCTGGTATTAGATGCTATCACTGTAAGAAAGTAGGTCACACAAGAAAGGTGTGCCCTGAACGCCTGAAAGATCATGGAGGTAAGGATACTGGCAATGCAGCTATTGTCCAAGATGATTTCGAATCATCTGATGTTCTTGTGGTTTCAAGCAACAACTCGACGAAGGAGTGGATTATGGATTCTGGATGCACTTGGCACATGACTCCAAACAAAGACTTGTTCGAGGAATTATGTGATCAAGATGGTGGATCTGTATTGCTGGGAAACAACAAAGCTTGCAAGATTGCAGGCGTTGGATCTGTGAGATTCAAGCTCCATGATGAGTCAATAAGATTGTTGACTGAAGTCAGGTATGTACCTGATTTGAAGAGAAATTTGATTTCTCTTGGTGAATTCGACAAGAAAGGATATGTGTTTCAAGGAGAGAAAAGTATCCTGAGAATCATGAAAGGGTCGAAGGAAGTCTTGAGAGGCGTGAAGAAACAAGGCTTGTATACCCTTGAGGCTGAAGTTGTAAGTGGTTCGACAAATGTTGCATCCACGAAACCTTTGTCGAAGACAGAAATTTGGCACATGAGATTGGGCCATGCCAGTGAAAGGGGTCTGGTTGAATTAGGGAAACAAAATCTGCTTGGTGAAGATAAAGTCGAAAAGCTGAAGTTTTGTGAACCCTGTGTACTTGGAAAGTCCTGTAGAATGAAGTTCAACAAAGGCAAACAAAGAACACATGGATCCCTTGATTACATCCATGCTGATCTTTGGGGGCCTGCAAGGTGTCCATCACATTCAGGAGCAAAGTATTTTCTATCCATAGTAGATGACTATTCCAGAAAGTTATGGGTATTCATCCAGAAGACTAAGGATGAAACTTTTGAGAATTTCAAAAGTTGGAAGACTCTTGTCGAAAATCAAACTGGCAGAAAGGTAAAGAGGTTGAGAACCGACAATGGCCTTGAGTTTTGCAATGAGGCGTTCGACAGTTTTTGTGTTGCCTCTGGTATTGCAAGACACAGAACTACCGCAGGTACTCCACAACAAAATGGTTTGGCTGAAAGGTTTAATCGAACTATTTTGGAGAGAGTTAGATGCATGTTGACTAGTGCGGGATTAAAGAAGGTGTTTTGGGCTGAGGCTGTTTCGACAGCAGCATATCTGATAAACAGATGTCCTTCGACAGCGTTAGATATGAAGACACCTGAAGAAGTTTGGTCGGGACATCCACCAGATCTCGACAAACTAAGAGTATTTGGCTGTGTAGCCTATGCTCACATTAGGCAAGACAAGGTCGAACCTAGAGCTCTGAAATGCATGTTTATGGGATACCCTGAAGGAGTGAAAGCTTATAGGCTATGGTGCCTAGAGCCAGGTCACAGGAGGTGTATCACCAGTCGAGATGTAGTTTTCAATGAAACTGAAATGGCTTTCAAGAAAACTGATGATGTTGACGAAGAGCTGGAACAGGTAGAGATTCCTGTTGAGGTGGAGCATGTTGATGCTGAAATGCGTATCCCAGATGAAGTCGAAGAAGAAATTGAAGATTCTGATGATGTTGAGGAAACTGTTGATGACTACCTATTGTCGAGAGATAGGCAAAGAAGAGTCATAAAACCACCTCAGAGACTTGGATATGCAGATCTTGTAGCTTATGCCTTAATCTCTGCAAGTGAAGTTCTAGACGAAGAACCTAGAGATTATAAGGAAGTTATAAGGAGTCGAATGAAGACTGAATGGCTAAAGGCCATGCATGATGAGATGAAATCTCTTCATGATAATCACACTTGGGAACTAATCAAGAAACCTGTTGGGGCAAGGTTAGTCAGCTGTAAGTGGATTTTCAAAGTTAAGGAAGGAATTGAAGGAGTAATGTCGAAGAGGTACAAGGCAAGATTAGTCGCAAGGGGTTTCACTCAGAAAGAAGGTGTCGACTTCAATGATGTATTTTCCCCTGTTGTGAAGCACAGATCCATCCGAATGTTGCTTGCCATGGTGGCTCAGTTCGACCTTGAACTGGAACAAATGGATGTGAAGACTGCGTTCTTGTATGGTGACTTAGATGAAACAATCCTGATGAGGCAACCTGAAGGGTATGTCGAAAAGGGGAAAGAAGATTATGTGTGCAAACTGAAGAGATCTTTATATGGACTTAAACAATCTCCTCGACAGTGGAATAAGAGATTCGACAAGTTCATGGAACACATAGGTTTCATTAGAAGTCAGTTCGACCATTGTGTTTACTCCAGATTTCGACCTGAAAATTCATTTGTAATTTTGTTGCTTTATGTTGATGATATTCTGATAGCAAGCAACAATGTCGAAGATGTAATGAGGGTGAAGGCTGAACTCAATAAAGAGTTTGACATGAAGGATCTGGGAGCTGCATCTAGGATTCTTGGAATTGACATTCGAAGAGATAGAAAGCAGTCGAAATTATGCTTGTCTCAAGAGGCATACCTACGAAAGATTCTTGACAAGTTTGGTATGTCGAACTCAAAGCCTGTTGTGACTCCAACAAACCCTCAATTCAAGTTGAGTATTGATCAATGTCCCAGTACTGATGTTGAAAGAACCTATATGAATAGCATCCCATATGCTAATATAGTTGGTTCTTTGATGTATGCTATGGTCTGTACTAGACCCGACATAGCATATGCAGTAAGTCTTGTAAGCAGGTACATGGCGAATCCTGGAAAGGCTCACTGGCAAGCGTTAAAGTGGATTCTAAGGTACATAAATGGGTCTCTGAACAGAGTCTTAATTTATGGTGGAGCCCTGGGTGAAGATAGTAAAGCAGCAGTCGAAGGCTATGTTGACTCTGATTATGCAGGCTGTATGGATTCCAGAAAATCTATTTCTGGATATGTTTTCACTATGTTTGGTACAACAATTAGTTGGAAAGCAACTCTTCAGAAGGTTGTTGCCTTATCAACTACTGAAGCAGAATATATTGCCCTAACTGAAGCTGTGAAAGAAGCATTGTGGCTTGAAGGTTTTGCGAAGGAGCTGAAACTTCAAGGTCAAGGTATCACTGTTAAATGTGATAGTCAAAGTGCAATACACCTGTCGAAGAACTCAGCCTATCATGAGCGAACCAAGCACATAGATGTGAGGCTGCATTTCGTCAGAGGGGTAATCGAGCGTGGAGAAGTCCAAGTGCTGAAGGTCTCGACAGATCACAATGCCGCTGATATGATCAC